AAGACCCTTTTATTATTCTTTACATTCCGGTCCTGTGTCACTATTGGGCAAGTAAGCTCTGGCAAAAAAAAAAAAATGCCACAGACAGCACTGAGTGGTTCCCTATTAAGGCGTTTCGATTTTTTTTAAAAAAAAAAAAAACCAGAAAGAATATTCTCATTGGAATTAAAATAATAAAATAAAATAAAAATTTGGTAAATCTGGAGACTAAGCAACATGATAGGGATTAAAATCGTAATTCTAATTTAAGTCAATTTCAACAATTAATTGTAACTATATTTCATGGAATCCACTACTTTTCAATTTTCATCAACTTTTATCAAAATCTGCTAAAAATATTATTTTAATCCCCCACCAAACTCATGCCGTACCAACCAACAACAAGGTAAGAAATATCTCTGTTAAGAAAGAAGCCACAACGAGATCACAATGGCAAATTAAATAAATAAAAAAGAAAAAAGAAGGTGAAACTTTTAAGTCTTACAGTCAAGATTACAACGGGCATCAAATGTACAGTGTTCATAGCTCCACAAGCAATGTGAAATCATAATTATAAGACTGAAATAAGGAATTCTATGAGGATGTTTTTTCAAGTTTTGAAACAAGCAATTCCTTGTCTTCGAGTACCTGGTTATCTAACATAAGCTTTTCCTAGTTTGACGCTCGCCCCTCTGCTCAATAACCTCCATCTCTCAATTTGCTTCAATAGTAACCAACCCCTCGAAAATCTTTTGATGTTTGCTCAGCATCACTTCCGTTACCTAAAAATAATAGACGACCTCCAAGGCCATATATTTGGAGTTAATATAAGAACAAAGATTCATCAAAGTAGATTTGTCAATCTATTTAAAAGATTAGATTACCACAAACATTATAATACATTTGTTGTAGGATAAATTGCGGCTGATATCCCCAACCTTTACTTCCTTTTGCACTTCTATCCCCAATCTTTATTTCTTCGCACTCATATCCCCAACCTTTGACAAATTAGCAGACGTTGCCCTCGATAACAGTTTCCTTCCAAACTTATTGTTAATATGGCTTGAAATGTTAATGTTGTCCTTAGGTTTATGTAAACAAGAAAAAGAAATATAAAAATGAAAAAAGAACGAACACCGATCCACAGTTTAAAGCAAGCTCTACACCGAAACTGAGTAGGCTTCTAAGATCCAGAGTGCATGCCCCGTCCCTGCCCCCAAAACAACCCACACAGGCACCACAAATAAAAATAGGAATAGAAAAACACATGCACGACTACAACAACATTCAAGATCCATCCTTTAATATATAGTCAAATGAAAAAAAGCTCAAACATTTGTGCTTGTTTGTCCATGCTTTTAAGTGCTTATATGCGGTGGGTCTCAAGTATGGTTAAAAAGTAAATAAAAGTAATGGGTCTTACAAAATATATGGATAAAAATATAGTTTGACTAGTTGATAAACAATTATACGCTTTGCCAAACAAGCACATTGTAACATAAACATGGAATTTCACACAGATAAATTTAGACAAAAGCTTGAAGTGATTGATGTTGCGTTTACTTAGTATTCCAGAGCCTAACGAGGCTTCATAAGGAACATCCAAAGAAAAGGCCAAGCAAATAAGGAAATTGATCTGCAAACGGATGCGCAGCAGAATGAGTATGGCAGATAACTCGATGATATTAACATTAACAACAGTAGCATTCACATCCCATGAAATAAGAGAGAACTAGAAAGCTGTAGGCAGGTAGAGCAACAGAAAATAAATAATTAATAAAGGAGGATAAAGATTAATATACCATTCCAGCGTATTGAAATCTCTCGTATTCGCCGAACAAGACCAGTTATGGGATCATTGAAGATTTTTGTCTCCAGATTCCCCTCCACATACAGGATGGAACTACAACAGGCATAAATCAAGAAGANTGAAATATCGAATCAAACGAAAAATTGTAGGAAAATAAAGTTCGAAAAAAGGACATTGGAATGAGGTTGTGATTGAAAAGAAACATAAACAATCACGACTTTACGTTTCACAATTAATGTAAAATTATTTTTGATATTTAAAATTTATCGATCATATATTTATCATGACCGCACTTCAACATTTCGAACAAATTCCATAAAATCATTTCGCTTGGCTGGGCTTATGAATAGTAATCACCAAGTGACTCTTTTATTTATGTAGGATATATAACAACAACAATTCAACACTATTATCAATACAAACGAGATTTCAAAAACATTACCTTTTACCGGAACTCATGGAGAGTTTTATCAACTCGCAAATCCTTCTTTTATTTTTCTCAAAATGAAATGATGTTGATTTTTTTCTTTTTTAGTGCATATGTTTTTTTGCAATATTATAATGTTAAATTACGTTTGACATTATCTTCCTCTTCCCTCAATCTTTAATTGGTCATTACCTACTAAATAATGCAAGAAATTGAACAAAATGGATAATAACTTGCACATAATGCTAATTTCTCATGAAAGTTACTTCATTGCCTTGAGGATTGCGCCACAGCCAAATAAAAAATTTGATTTTTTCTCTTTTCCTTCATTAAGGTTACAATGAAAAATTTGAGGTCAAAATTGACAATTTTTACAATAGGTATCAAAATTAGACATATTTCAATTGACAAACATAAATTTATACATTTTTGTAAATTCCCTCTTTGTTAGATCCTTCGCGTGCGTATCAGGTGCAAATCCAGAGTTGTCAGAATTTCTAAATGGGTAATTAGTACATAACATCATCATTTTTCATTTTTTTTATTTAAATATGAAGGTATAGTCGTCATTTCACAACTTTCATTGAGAAATTGGATGAAAATTGATAGAAATAATGGTTTGGTAATTAATGGCCCGTTTGATTCTCATTATTATAGAATGAGAATGAAAAATATAGCTGGACCCCATACAAGAAATAGAAATTGATGGCTTGATGTGATTGATAACGTTCATATTTTTCATTTTTATGGATTAAAAATGAGAAACAAACGGAGGCTAAATGTGTAATTAATGGTGAAAATGTTAAAAAAATAAAAGGTAGAGATATTATGTGTCAATTACATTTTAATAATTTATTTAAGATACATTTGCGCTTTTCAAAAAAAAATTGGGACTATGATTGCAATTATTTTTTCTTTTTCTTTCTATTTTATTTAAAGAGAATGATATATTCGTTATTTCCTAATTTTTAATTGAAAAAATGGATGAAAATGACCTTTTGCGTAATGAAAAGTGGAAATAATGGTGATAATACTAAAAAATGAAAGGTAATTATGTTTTCCACGATAATAATGCAAAGTAGGGACATTATGTGCTAATCACCGTTCCTAAATCATCCTTCCCTCTCAAAGCACAAAGGAAAAATAATTGCCCCCAGGACACATTTTCAAGTAGTAAAAGGGGAATGTGGAAAAACTCCAACTTTTTTTGAGACTGTCGCGTCAAGAGTTCGAATCTTAAAATATGGATTTAACCCTTGGGTAACTGCAAGTGTACAAGTAGCCTTCCACCCTATACCCTTAGAGGCATAATCTACGATTTACCTTATTCACCAATGTCCAGAACAGGATAGGTGGGGGCCGTCAAGAATGCCGCTCATCCTTTACAAAGGAAAAATAATTACACCATATGTACAGAAAAGTGGATCACAAAAGAACTCACACATGTGTAGGACCCACCAACCGCATTTTTAAGTTTCTGACCCCCGTGAACCCTCTTCAAGTGTAGCATGATTGAAAACCATAATCATAATCCATGACCATTTTGGGTACCCACAAACTTGTACTACAACCTCGAACAAGTAATGCTATACTTATACACTTGATTCACATTTACTTTCACATTCCTCTTGCACAGGGGATGGGACCACACCCTCTGTGTGAGAGGGATGTAATCCACCTTGCTATCGTTAGGGGATGTAAAAGTAAACGTGAACCAACACGTGTATATTTAGCATTTTTGCTCCGATAATCTACCCCCTACACGTTTGCCTACTCTCTCANAATAAAAGGTAGAGATATTATGTGTCAATTACATTTTAATAATTTATTTAAGATACATTTGCGCTTTTCAAAAAAAAATTGGGACTATGATTGCAATTATTTTTTCTTTTTCTTTCTATTTTATTTAAAGAGAATGATATATTCGTTATTTCCTAATTTTTAATTGAAAAAATGGATGAAAATGACCTTTTGCGTAATGAAAAGTGGAAATAATGGTGATAATACTAAAAAATGAAAGGTAATTATGTTTTCCACGATAATAATGCAAAGTAGGGACGTTATGTGCTAATCACCGTTCCTAAATCATCCTTCCCTCTCAAAGCACAAAGGAAAAATAATTGCCCCCAGGACACATTTTCAAGTAGTAAAAGGGGAATGTGGAAAAACTCCAACTTTGTTTGAGACTGTCGCGTCAAGAGTTCGAATCTTAAAATATGGATTTAGCCCTTGGGTAACTGCAAGTGTACAAGTAGCCTTCCACCCTATATCTTTAGAGGCATAATCTACGATTTACCTCATTCACCAATGTCCAGAAGAGGATAGGTGGGAACCGTCAAGAATGCCGCTCATCCTTTACAAAGGAAAAATAATTACACCATATGTACAGAAAAGTGGATCACAAAAGAACTCACACATATGTAGGACCCACCAACCGCATTTTTAAGTTTCTGACCCCCGTGAACCCTCTTTAAGTGTAGCATGATTGAAAACCATAATCATAATCCATGACCTTTTTGGGTACCCACAAACTTGTACTACAATCTTGAACAAGTAATGCTATACTTACACACTTGATTCTATAGTGTAATCCACCTTCCCTACACGTTTGCCTACTCTCTCACTACATCAGAGTACACGGCTTCTTCTCTTTCTATAGGTAAATTCTGTCTCCTCCTGACCCTTTTTTTCCTTCAAGTTTTTAAGGGTTTTGTTTAGGATTTGCTCACGTGTTGATTTTTCTTTTTCTTTGTTAAAGAGTGAACAAATTGTTGCAGTGAAGCCATGGCTATGGTGAGTGCTTCATTTTTCATTGGGTTTTTTTTTTGTAATTGATTCGTTTCAAGATTTAGTCTTTTGCTAATTTCTGTGTCTGGGGTTTCTCCATATTTTTGTATGTTAGAAAATTTGAAAAGTTTTTAATTTTAGGGGAATAGATTGATTTTTTCCCTCTTTAATTGGACGGTACTGCAAATTATGATTAAGTTGGTTGATTGGTGGTGCAGATTTATAATTTGAATTGAAGATATAATACTTATTGATTATCATGTTAAAAGATTTATCAGGACATTTGTGATTCAGGGATAGAGGAAAGCTATAAAATGGGTGCACTGTAGATTATTTATCAAGACTTTTGGATTCCATCTTAAAATTTCCTTAAATTGCCCTAGCAAGATGGTGCACATCTTCTGAATGCTCATTTGAGCTTTACATTGTCCAAATGGCTCATTTGAGCATATTGGGCTCTAATGGGCTATGATGTACCGACACGGACACGCATATACGTCTACACGCGATTTTTAAAAAAAGTACAGTCAATACACGTCATCGAAACGTTGGTTAAATTCTTAAAAATTCTTCATTTATGTAATATAAATTTAGTTTTATACTTGTTATTAATTTTTCTTGTTGATCTTTTAAACTTGAGTACATATTTGTTACTTGCTAATAATTTTGAATTAACAATATATAATATTCCTAATATAAAAAGAAAAATTATTACGATAGAGTGTCCGAGAAGTGTCGGTATCAACTCGTGTCAGACACAGACACGTTACTCTAATTGAAGTGTTCGTGCTACAGAGCTAATAGCATATTAAGACTTCCATTTTGTAAGGTTCATCTTTGTCTCTTTTATGTTGGTTAAATTTTTTATACACAATCGACTTGACTTGGGGTTTTACCATTAAACTACTGCGATGAAATCTTGGATCTTTCTATCCATTTCATTCTTTTTACACCAAAAGAGCATTTTTGTTCTCTCTTCTGTTTTTAAAGTCGTTTGAGCGTCGTAGCACATAGCCTCTATTTATGGCATGTGATTTGTTTTCACCTCATTCAATGGCATATTGTAGTTACTATCATGTGGCTAAGACTTTTTAAATGCCAAATTCTTTTGTTTATTGTCTCAATTCTTGTGAAATACCGGACTGGATTTGTCTTTGGAATGCATGTTTCTTTAGTGCATGTCAAGATATTAACATATATCCTTTTATGATTTTATTCAATTTAGCTTCTTTAATTTGTCTGCTCTTCTATTCAGATTTTGCACGCAATTAGTACACACAAAAATGCGTTTAAGACTCTCATTGCAGCAGAATATAGTGGTGTTAAAATTGAACTGTCGAAGAGTTTTGAGATGGGTATATCAAATCAGACTCCTGAGTTTCTCAAGATGAATCCTATAGGAAAGGTATATGATAATATCATGTATTAAAATTGAACATTTCACTTCTTTTCCTGATCTTCTAATTTTCTTGCTGTAGGTTCCTGTTCTTGAAACCCCTGATGGCCCAATATTTGAAAGTAATGCTATTGCACGCTATGGTGAGACTACACTGTCATTCTACGTTTGAAGTTTTGACTCTATGTCAGTGTTTGTTTTGACATGTCATTTCTTAATTTATACAGTAACAAAGTTGCAGCCCGAGAACCCCTTGTATGGCACTTCCTTGTATGATTATGTAAGGCATTAAGGCTCTAGTTTTTAACGGAACAAACAAATATCTGGTTTTATTGTTTTCAATGACATCTATGATTGCCTTTGAAGCTCTATCCTTGTGATGAACTATATTCTCTTGTCCTATTGCATTGATTTATTGGTTTTGATAGGGCTGCATTGAACAATGGATTGACTTCGCTACTACAGAGATTGATGTGAATATAGGGCGTTGGTATCTTCCACGAATTGGTTTCGCTCAATATCTACCTCCGGTATGTCAATCTTTTAATGTTAACATTAACACTTGTACATGTTTGCTATTCTTAACCACCTGAAATCATATTGATTATAACTTGCTCAATTTCTTTATTGTTTTCAAAGGCTGAGGAGGCTGCAATTTCTTCATTGAAGAGAGCTCTTGGAGCTTTGAATACCCATCTTGCCTCTAACACTTATTTGGTTGGACATGGGGTCTCTCTGGCCGACATTATTATGACATGCAACCTTAGTTATGGATTCAAGCAAATTATGACCAAGAGCTTTACCTCGGAATTCCCACACGTTGAGAGATACTTCTGGACCATGGTTAATCAGCCAAAATTTCACAAAGTGTTGGGTGATGTGAAGCAAGTGGACTCTGTTCCGCCTGTTGCATCCAAGAAGCCTGTGCAGGCAAAAGAATCTGCAAAACCCAAACCAAAGGATGAACCGAAGAAGGAGGCTAAGAAGGAAGATGTGAAGCCTAAAGAAGTAGAAGAGGAAGAAGATGCACCTAAGCCAAAAGCAAAGAATCCTTTGGATCTTTTGCCTCCAAGTAAGATGATATTGGACGAATGGAAGAGACTTTATTCCAACACTAAGACAAACTTTCGTGAGGTCGCCGTTAAAGGTAATTATTTCTCACACACTGCTTTTGCAGGAGGATTCTAAATTTATCTGACTACGCATGTTCACTTGATTTTACTCTCTTTCACTCACTCTCGCCCTTGACATTGTGTCGGTATCATATCGACTAAGATTGAGAATTATTTTAGTTTCTGATTATCAACATGATAAACAATTTTGGCAAAAGCTCATTTATGGGAATGAATTGGTGATTGAATGATGACCTTCTATTATTTTCTCAAGACATAATAGGGGAAATTCTACACGTGCTGCTTAGATAACTCAAACGATTAAGAGTTTTAACTTTTTAGATTATGTTAAATTCTCAGGCATGTAATTCATTATGAGATCGAGTAAATTCCTTCTGTGCTTGCTTATAATGCCCATGGTTTCGTTAACTTTCCAGGATTTTGGGACATGTATGATCCCGAGGGATACTCTCTGTGGTTCTGCAACTACAAGTACAATGATGAAAACACCGTCTCGTTTGTGACTTTGAACAAGGTGAGTGGATTTCTGCAGCGAATGGATCTGGCACGCAAATACGCGTTTGGGAAAATGTTAGTGATTGGTTCTGAACCCCCTTTCAAGGTGAAGGGATTGTGGCTTTTCCGTGGGAAAGAAGTTCCTCAGTTTGTTCTCGATGAATGTTATGACATGGAGCTTTACGAGTGGACCAAGGTGGATATCAGCGATGAAGCTCAAAAGGAGCGTGTTAGCCAAATGATTGAAGATGCTGAGCCTTTCGAGGGTGAGGCTCTGTTGGATGCCAAGTGCTTTAAGTGATGAGACAATAGCTTACATCCCAACAGGCTCCTAGTAGTTAGAGGTTTTGGCCTACCTTAATTTTGTCTTCTTGAATTCTATATTATCCTTCTCTTTAATATAAACACGAACTTCTTCTCTCATCAGAACTTATTTCATTTTCATTTTGTAGCAGGTTTTGTAATTTATAATCTTTACCCCGTGCCAGTGTTCCGGTATATCCAAGTTCAGCTTGTGTTAAAAGTTTGTCTGCATGTTGACATGCTGTGTATTTTCCTTAAATTTTACTACTTGTGCATTTGTTGGTAATGTGTTGGATTAAAGACTTCATACCCACATTTCGATACTATACTAGACTATGGAGATGGAAAAAGATTAAAATGGACCTGAAATGTTTATATATCATGGATTTGGATGGAGAAACCAAATACAAGAATTTTCCTTCATGTCTGGATAAAGTGGTTGTAGTTGATGAAGAAAGCTACTTTAGGAGGGTTTATTAGCTTCAATCTGTCTTGAATCAGAAGTAAATGTATCCCGTAAAGGTCACAATATTTTGTGGAACGGGAAGTCTCTGCTGTGATGCCATCTGCGAGGGCATATGTAGGACAAATATTATGCGAAGATGTGCATTTCGTTTTCCTTCTGAATACTGTGATTCATATTCTCGAACATCCCATATGAATATCTTGAGTGCTGTGTACAATTGCTATTACGACCAAAATATGTTCATCGTGGGGATTAAAATCAGTTTTTAGCAAATTTTGATAAAAATTGATAAAATTTATGGTTGAAAAGTGTGAGCCTCGTATAATAAGTTGATAAAATTAATTGTTAACTTTAATTTAAATTAAAAGCCCGTTTGATGTCCATTTTTTTGCAAAAAAAATATTTTTGAGTAGTGTTTTTATTTTGGAGAATGTGTGGTTAAAAATAAAGAAAGTTTTAGATTTGTGTGTAATATTATTTTATCGAAGAATGTGATTAAAAAAAGAGAGAAATATATTTTGAAAAAAATGAGAATTAAATAAAGCCTAAAATTTGAATTTCTAGTATAGTATTTGATTTATTCATATCAAAGCTTTTGTCGCAGCAGGACCTTAAAATGGGGCTACCAATCGCTGATATTGTTTAGGCAACGCAGACGCCCTTTTTGGGACTCGTGATTGCTGCCTCGGGTAAAGTTTTAGTAATTCGGCCAAATTTTTGGTTCCGAGCTTATCTTTATAAGTTGGACCTTTTTAGCTTAATTACTTACGGGAAGAGTTCATAAATAAGGTATTAACTATCAATAAATCAATTTTCAGGCCATAAGTTTGGAAATTGCAAAAATTAGGTATTTATTTATTAATTAAATATATTAAAATCATAATTATACAATTTATGGTCTAAATTACATCCTTATGAGTCACAAATTATTTAATGGTCACATTTTATCAAATTAATTGATCACAAATTATTTCAAGGTCACAAATTAAAAAATTTATACGTCACAATTTATTTCATTAATCACAGATCAAAAAAATTGTCAGCCACAGATCGAAAATCGATTACATATTTTCAAGTTGAACCAAATAGTTGATCACATATACCGAAACACCCCACCTCGATCAAATCCACCACCCATATTTGGTCACAGATGACCAAATAATTAGTCACATGCATCTAATAGTGGTCACATACCACTATCACCAACACAATCGCCACTGGACTACGACAACTTGCGACCACCCACCCACCCGGCCGCCGCCACTGTCGCCACCAGAAACGTCATTTTGCAACCCACAAACAACCGCACCACTAAACCACCACTACCACCTCAACATAGCACCAACACTCCAGAAACTATCCCAAAACATGGAAACCACCACTGCCACTGCCATCGCCACCGTCGGACCCACCCTTAAATCCTAACACCAACAAAACATAAAAATAATCACCACCACCACTACTCCAACAGCCAAAAAAACACCAACTAAAAACCCAATTAACTGCACACACCTACACACACAACTCCACTTCGCCATTTCGCCACTGCGCGCGCACATCCCCACACCCACACCCACCAGGTTGCCGTTCACAGTAGCGTCACGACGCTGCCGTCGCAGTTCACATCAGCGTGTACATCATCGTCCCCAAAACCACCTCCATATCATCGTCGCTACAATAGACTCCAGCGTGCAGCGCCTCGTTGAGAGAGAGAGAGAGATGATTAAAATGATTTAGGGTTTGAAATTAGGTTGTGTGAGTGTTTTGATGGGTGTTGAATTTGTAATATAATTATTAATTGTAAAATATTAAATTGTCACCCGATTTTTGATTAAATATACTTTATATTTGATTTTTGAAGTGTGATCTTTAAACACCTTGTTCTTTGTAATTTTCCCATTACTTATTCTGATATTTGCAACATCTCATTAGCTTTCTCTTGGGGTAATATGGGTTTTGGTACTAAATATGAATAAAAAACTGAACATTACAAGATTTCTATAGAAGCATCTTTAACGAACATGCAAGGAATCTTTTACACAAATAAAAAAGGGGGAATATTTAAACACTGAGGAATAAAGGTAATTCTCAGTCATTTTTCTTAAGTAATAAAACATAACCCATCAAATAGTATGAAGCAAGACTTGTCAAGATGGCCAGTTACAATATTGGTCCTACTTGCCATCCACATCATAGTAGATAAGATTGATTTTTCCTTCTAGAAAAAAAGAAAAAAAACACTTGGCATCACGATCATTGGGGAAAAAAAAAATACCCTAACCCGAGAGTTTACAGTATGGTATTTGATTGAAATAAATTAATTTAATAATAAAAATGTAGTCGTTATTAAGTCCTTGTTGGAACTCAATTTTAATGAGGTTTTTGGCAAAAATGTATTTTGAAATAGTATTATTTTGAAAAATATGTCGTTAAAAAATAAGGAAAAATTTTGTATTGTAATATTATTTTATTTTATTGAAGAGTATATGTATGATTAAAAAGAAGAAAGAAGTGAATGTATTAAAATTAAAATGGAGTCGAAACATGAATAATAGTAGCATAAGATAAAAGAGGTAGAGATCAAAATTGGGATGTCAATCATGATAAGACACCATGTTAAAGCAAAAGGAAGAAGAATACTTTATCTTCATCTGTGGTGGCAATTCCTCCAGGCATCAAAATTGCATAAGTAAATTTGAAGATAAGTATTTCTTGATAACCTTCCAAAGCAACGGTGGACTCCCATTTGAATTAATCATTTTGGCTAACTACGAAGTTCACTAATAAGTGAATAAGTAATTTTAAAATAATAGTCTTTATTTATAAAATTGAAAATAATTTATTTATGATTTATGAATGTGTATAAGACAAAAAGGAACAATCTTTTTAAATAGTGAAATTCCCAAGAATTCAGATAAAATTAAATTAATGCAACTTGTTGTGTTGATACATTACTTTTGAATATTAGTCCCATGCTTATGCTTTTTCAACGCTACCACCCCCATACCAGTTAACCCACTAAAATTTAAACTTTTTAATTTTTTTAAAAAAATATCTCTTTTTGCATAATTTAATCTTTACCATTCGAATTGCAATATTCTTTAAGCAAAGGATAGGAATTCTGGGATTCTTCATGCAACCCATGATCAAAGATTAAAGTTATACCCATGAGTGAAGGTTGGTATGAGGGTCATTAAGTATTTTAGTTTAAATGGTTCGAGATATGAATTTGAACTCTTCCTCTTATTAAAGTTATATTTCATGATTCGATATTGTATCTAGGGGTGGGCGTGGGTCGGTTTGGTTCGGTTCGGTTCCAGAAATTTTCGATTCTTTAGTAAATGGAACCGTCGGTTCCAAATATAATTTTGGAACCGTTCGGGTTCGGTTTGGTTCGGTTTGGTTCGGTTCCGTACTATAATTAATTTTTTTAATATTTAAAATAATACTATATAAATACACCTGAAAGTAGATACTAATATTAGCCCCTATTTGGAGGGCATTTTTTTCCCATTTCTAGAAATTTTCTTACCGTTAGACATGGGGCTAGCCGAAATATTTGACCAACTTGTGAGAGGGAGGGGCCCACTAATTTGAAAAACTGGTCCAATTCTTCATTTTTTCTTCACAAGAATGCTGGCCAAACAGGGGCTTAATAACAAGAAGTAGATACAAATACGAAATTCGATCTTAGCAACTAAATCCTAAACCCAACCATGAATGACTAAAATATCAACTAAAGCCTAACCCAAGACTGAAATCAAACCCAATCTAAACTAAATCCAATAGGAAATAAAAACAAAACTATAAACTAACCCAAAATTAAACCCGTGTTAGGTTAAGGAATATATATATATATATAT